AAAACATGACTCCCGAGCCACTGAGTGGCTCTACCCCCTTGCTACCAGAATCCCAGCTTTGATAAACCACTCAAGATTTGTGGATTATATAGGGCTTTGGGATTTACAGGGCTTCTAGCTGTTTTCTAGGGTGTCACAGGTATGTAAAGGGTTTGCGGGGTTTATCGCGTCTTCGTTCTTAGAGCTGACAGGGCTCGGGGGGTGGGGTTGGTCCAGTGAAAACTAAGACTGGCCCCTAAAGACACGCAAAACTGCTAAAGAGGCGCGCTTTCAGGCCTTGAGAGTTGGGTTTTCTTAGAGCTGAAGGCTTGGGCCTAAGTTGCACCGAGGCCCCTAACCTTAAGGATCCGAGTACCTAATGGTATATGATTTGGGCCTTAAAGCCACAGGCAGGAATTTGTTTAAGGCACAAGTTTAGACTCCAAAGGCACGTGGATCCTCAGGATAACCCAAAACCGAATGCTGCAGACGCCAGAAGTCTGCCTCCTTGTTCATCTGTGGGCTCACTTTCTGCGCCTCCAGAGTCTGTACTTAGAAGGTCTTTTACCTTAGTAAGTAGGGTTTGCAAAGTGGGTTTTGCGGATTGTAAGAGGGCCTCCAAGGGATACTACGTAGACTTTCCAAGTCAAAAGAGCTTCCAAGTAAACTCGCCCAATACTCCTTCGTTAAGGAATATACCGTAAATCATGTTGAGTCCAGGACGGCTTGAATTAGGTTTGGGGCTTTTCTTGCTCTGTGGGGCTGTGCAATTCGATGACAACGTGCTCGGAATCTTTCATCTTTATCGGTTCGGCTCTCCCCAATTTCAAAGCCGCATGAGCCTTTTGGGAACACTGCCCAAAGAGTCATTCAGCAATACACCTGAAATTTTATATAGGGATCCTGAATATGATTTGAGGAATGATCCTTTTTTAAGAGGTATTGGGATCTCTGGGTGAGGCCATAAGTGTAGGACTGAGGTCTGCAGAAGTCTAGGAGCATCGTGGAAGTGTCATGGCAAACCCCGAGCCCTAAACCTGTAGGATCTACTGCGATGCTCGCCCTTATGCGAACAGTCCTTTAATTGGGATTACAGTACCCCCCTTCCCCCTTATGAGAGTCCGTATTCAGGAAGTAAGAGGGGGAACATCCCAGAACATCCACATCAATGGCCAGGAACCGGACACGCTCCGCAAGTTTTCTCGCTTCTATGTCGGTGCAGCTGCAGCGGTGCCCCGAAAAATCGAAATCACCGGATGCGGTTTAGGGTTTAGGGCAGTTTAGGGTTAAGGGTTTGGGGGGCTTACTGTAGGGTCAACCATTTGCCTTTTTTTGCCAAGCCCATGGAGGCATATACTCAGCGATCTGAACTGGACAGAAACACATGTTGCCGATAGACGTGAGGCTATACTCCCCTTACAACCTTAATAGAAGAGATTGTGTTTCTCATTCGTTTGGGCTATATATACACAAATACTTTGAAAGGGGGCTATAGATAGGAGGTCAAGGGGATTCAGGGGGTGTCAACAATAAGGACCGCTCGAGCGCTTGTTACAACTGGAATCGCTTAGAGGATCTGCGCAGGAGACGCTGTGTTTGAACAACCCCGTCCCCCATATTGATCCGTAGGTGGACTCCTCAACCATAACAGTGCTTTCTCGAGCGCATGCTCGCTGCCAAGAAAAATGCATCACAGCCGCATGGGCAGAAGCACCCAGCAGGTGCCAACTTTCTCTGCTTTTCTTGAGAACGGACCTTTCACATGTTCTGCCTCAGCCTGAACGTTGCATCCAAACCTGTAGGTATGCGCAGAGCATGTTACTCGGTGCCATGGCGTTGAGCACCAGGCCTTGCACATGCAACCCTAAACCCTGAACCCTGAACCCTAAACCCTAAACCCTAAAACCCTGACCCTAACCCCTCAACCCTCAACCCTAAACGTCCTGCCAGGTGCTGCGCCCCTGCGCTGAGGTAAGAGGTTAAAATGTATGCCAGGGTACTGAAGCCTCATGTGCGTTTCCAGGGTCCCTGAGACGCACGTGGAAAATGGGCAACGACCCAGCTCAGCTTACCAGCTCGTTTCCTTGCCAGAAGAGATTCCTAAACCCTGAGCCCTGAACCCTGAAACCTAAACCCTAAACCCAACCCTGCCGATTTCAATACTCCAAACCCGCGGCAAGGGCTTATCTCGAATCTCTCCTATTTACAGTCCTATACGGGGGTCTATCCTTATAACAAGGCTTTCGGGAGCTATACAGTATTCATCTTGGGACCAGAAGGGAAAACGATTAGAAATTGTTTCGACCCCTATAGTAAGTCTATCCACATGCAAACTTCAAAGGCGATGAGCAAAGGCCAGCTATCAAAACAAACGCACAAAGACTTTCCCGTTTTCCCTCAGCCCTAGAGACAAGGAAAGAGGGAAGGATCCCTGATTCGACTCCCCTGACTGCTGTCTAAATGGTACGAAGATGGTCATACGATGTCATACGTTGGGATGTTCTCCCCTATACTAACAGTCCTCCATAGGGATGATAAAGTACCCCCTACGATCATCCCTAGTAAGGATTGTTAACGTAAGGGGGAACATCCCAAGTCAGATGGAATATGCATCTGGTATTTCCCTCAGTATTGTTTACAGCCAGTTTACTGGCGGTTTTCGTTGCAGATATTCCAAAAGCTGGGCCTAAACCCTAAACCCTAAACCCTAAACCCTAAACCCTAAGCCCTAAACCCTAAACCCTAACCCTAAACCCTAAACCCAAACAGGCCTCGCAGGGAAGCAGGGGTTTAGGGTTTGAGGTTTGGGGTTTGCTTCCACACGGAACTGGCTTTAGGGCTCATACAATTCTAGGGATTAAGGTTTAGGGCTTCAGGTGGGAAACAAATCACCCTAAACCCTCCACCCTAAACCCTCCACTTTTTTCCAGAAACCCTAAACCCTAAACCCTAAACCCTAAACCCTAAACCCTAACCCTAAACCCTAAACCCTAAACAAGCCCGGACACCGCTTTCCCGGGTTCCTCAACGCTGCTTATGCCAGGAGTCGAACCCACAGTGCCACGCCGCCACCGGCACCCCGGGCTGCTGCAATCTTCTCATCCTCAGGTTTAGGGTTTAGGGTTTAGGTTTTAGGGTTTAGGGTTTAGAATTGAGGGCTTAGGAGGGTTTGGGATTTAGGGTTTAGGGACACGGGGCGTCTGCGTTGTAGGGATTCGTCTCAACCCAGACTCCGGGTTGGAGCCAGAAAGTAGTTTCAAGGGTTCCTAAGGATGACCCAAATAGCAGTACCCTCTATGGTTTAGGGTTTAGGGTTTAGGGTTTAGGGTATTTCGGGGGTACTTTTTGGATCCTCCCAGGGGTCTGCGCAAAACAAGGCTCATTCGCGGCGGTGCTCTTTGAAGGTCATCGTCGTCTACCAGACTATTTGTTAGTTTCGTTTGGTCACAATCAATTTAAGGTCATGTCGGGGCTTCCTCTGTTCGACCTGCACCTGGAGGAGAGTACCTATGCATGCAGAAGATGCTTCAATAGGAATATCACTTGAATAAGTCGTAGCAGCAGTACATTTTCAAAAGCAGCAGCAGCAGTGGTGACATAACGATGAGAGTACTCATAGGATGGGTACAACCATCCACATGCCTGGCCTTCCGGTCGCCGATACAAACTTGCCATGGTTGAGGGTTTAGGATTGGCTTAAACTGACTGACATGCGAACATGCCCCCCGGGACTAGATACAGACCTTGAGCAAGCACTTGATACAATGGTCGCCCTATGGGCCTGCAGCAGAACTCCAAGATAGTCAGGGGCTCATGCATCACAGAGCCTCAATCCCTCCACATCCCTAAGCCGGATCAACCCCTTGCCCGGTTCATGGTTTAGGGTTTCGGCTTGTTTCTGGTTGTTGTTTTGTGTTCTTTAAGGTTTTAGGGTATAGGTTTAGGGTTTCGGCTTTAGGCAGAAAAAACCCTGAGCCCCTTTTTGCAGATTCATTGGAAGCTTCCCGGTGCTCGCAGCCAGCATGCGGAACTCACCCCTCTGTAGGGAATTGCAGAACCTGCTAAGTTTCTATAATGCTTAGGGTTCAGGATGCGTAGTAGGCCTCAGTTGAGAAAGGCACCAGACATATTTTCGCCCACATTTAGTCAGGCTCAGGCTTCTGAAGCATCTTGTAAGGTGTCTAGGATCCTCTGGAGTGCGGGAGTATACCCCTAAATCCTAAACCCTAAACCCTAAACCCTACTTCTCCAATTCCCTACTAAAGCAACTCGAAGGTCTCTCAGAATGCATTCGGCTGGGAAGATTCGACTCCCAAGCCTGCCCATGCCAAATTCCAAAACTTTTGCACACCTGGAAATCCCATGGGGTTTAGGGTTTAGGGTTTAGGGTTTAGGGTTTTGCCACTTGCAGGGTTTAGGGTTTGGGGGGTACAGGGTTTACTTGGAGGTTCATGGTACTTACACTCCCATTATGGCTGTACTTATAACCCACCTTATAAGCCCCTTAAGTGCCCGAATATGGTTATAAGTACAGTTATAAGTACAGTTATAATCTGGTTAGTAAGTACCATGAACCTCCAAGTAGGTTTCTGTGGATCTGCGCATTTTTCAGACGGTGAGCTCGGTGAGGTTTACTGATGGGGCACGCTTCGGATTTCCAGGAAGTCTGACAACGCAAACGGACAGTCGATCAAACCTCCGTAAGGTTGGACACCAACAGGTTCCATACGAGTGCGAAATTCTTCGCCGCATGAGCAATCGAGGCTCTCGACACTAAGAATCACAAACCCTTAGCCCCAAAACCCTAAACCCTTGCGAACCTGGCGTCTGCTTCAGAGCGCTCAACCAGAGAGCCGCTTACACCCCTTAGTTCACTAAGGGATATGCCTTAAATTGTATGGGAGATCCTTAAAACCCTACAAACCCTCAAGGCAAACAAGAACTAAGCCCTAAACCCGAAACCGGAACCCATCCCTAAACCCTAAACCCTAAACCCTTTGTTAAAGGGGTTTTGGGCCCCATCACCACAAGGGCTCGCAACACGGCATCGACCAGCCGTCCATCCTCGGCATCTCGGGTTTAGGGTTTAGGGTTTAGGGTTTAGGGTTTAGGGTTTAGGGCCCGCGGAAGAAAGTTCGGACTTCTGGGTCTGGTTTCGGGTTTTGGGATTTAGGGCTTTAGGGTTGTTTGGGTTTTAGGTCTTCGGGGTTGAAACTTACCGGTTACTTGCTAGGGAACGTAAAATAAGTTGCCCCAACGATGGCAATGCACTACTTAGTCTGCGACCGGATTTCGGTACTCAATGCAACGTCCTTAACAAGCACCCATTTATTGCCACCCGCCTAGTCTAGGCTCAAGGGTGGGCTAAAGCCAACTGTGTATCGAAGTATGGGCGGCGAATCTGAAAGGCGTTGGGGGGCTGTGGATGGCAGGTTAGGGATCTCGACGATACTGTGAATCTGCAGAATCGTCTGCACATAAGACGTTGCCATCGTGCATACGCACTGAGGCTGGATTTCGGCTTCGAGAGGCTCGAAAATTCCGGGCGGCCCATGTCGCTCGATTAAAGTATGTAGAGTGTTCTCTCCAGGAATGACGAAACGCGTTGCAAAAAATCGTCCAAGAAACCCCAGTCCAGCATGTCCACAGAACATTCCTCCAAAGGCGGGGTTCGAGCCTTTCCCAGCCTTGGTGACCGTCCAAAGGCTTCCCCCACCACCCTTTCCCTTGCCGCCGCTGCCATTGAACCTAGGCCAGAGAGAACGCAGAAGTGCAGCCACAACCTGCAGTGAGCTAAACCGTTGACAGCAACCCATGCAAGTTCCCTGATGTAGCATCGTCCTCCATCATGTGCTTTAGACTGTGAGACGGGTGGGTTCTTCAAAACAGATGCGGGCGGAGATTGGGATCAAAACTGAACTCCACTGCCTATCTGCGAATTTTATCAGAAATATGGGGTCCCTTCGCTGGTTGGCGCCTGGCCTATCTAGTTGCGACGGTCTAGGGTTTAGGGTTTAGCATGTAGGGTTTAGGGTTTAACGGATGATCATGAGCATCTGTGCTGTCATAGCCCGGCCCGGGGAGGCTTGGTACGCACCAGAATCCACTGGTGTCAGCATCCTAGCGCGTGCGTGTCACCGTGCCCAGGCCCGGCCAACAGCGTGCCTGGTGATGATAGAGGGTAAGGAAGAGACACCACGATCGCACCATGCCATCAAGCGCAAGAGGATGTCCTGAAACTAAGATCATGAGGATGACCCATCCTTCCGACCCAAACCACTTCAGGTCGGTGCTGGCCACCTCTACTGTAGCGGGTCCTAGAGAAGGGACTCGAGTTATATTAAGAGACCTACTTCTTATTAAGGCCCAGGAGCTCCCAAGCCGGCCCAGAGCTACCATAGGGTCCTGCATCTCCCTTGCCCTTGACAGCTGGGGAAGCACCCCAAGCACCGTCCCAGCCACCGCTCTGCCAGCCGCCTTTTCCCCAGCCGGAGGTAGTGTCCCAGGCACTGCCGTCCCAGCCCTTGCCACCCAAGCCACTACCTCCCTGTTGGCTGCCCAAGGCGCCCACCATCATCTGCATGAGGTCCATCATGCCTTTGGCACCCTTGCCCTTTCCCTTTGTGGACTTGGGTTGCGAGTAGGTGACGGTGACGGGATTGCTCATGTTCTGTGGGACGTTGCCACTCACGTTCTGCACAATCCACGTGGCCTCCTCCTCACTGCCCATGTTCACGAAAGCGGCCGCTGCGGTCTTTCCAGCGCTGACAGGGAGGACCTTGACCTCTTAGGGGCTGAATACCCTAGCCCAAACAAGGTGAACCCTTCTTCTGGTAATAGGAGTATGTATAACCAAAAAGGCTAAAGGTTAAATCCCAGCCCCCTAAGACCTCTTCAACATTGCCATACTGGCCGAAGATCGTCTTCGCCTGCACGTCTGTGACATCAACTGGAAGCCCGGACCTGTTACCGCAGAAGACTGGCTGGTTCTTAGTAGTGAGGGTATTAGGGCACTATATAATACCTTTAGGCCCTAACTCCCTCACTCCCTACTAAGAACCACCACCACGTGTGCAACAAAGGGTGCCCACAGTGAGAAATCACATGCCGAGGAGCACAAACAAAGACTTCGAGGGTGGTGGCCAAGACATGGCGTCTGACCCTATCTACGGAACAGAATCAATATAGTGAACTGGAGAATAGTAGACGAGTGTATACGAGCCTCGAAAGCATCGGGGTTCAGGGCTGTAGTGTGTCTCAGCTTCTTCATAGGGTCGTGTTCCATGTTCGCGTCGTACTGCAGGTGCCCTTCTCTTGAAGTGAAGAAGGCTGGGCATGCAATGCAGCATCCTCTCGTCATATGATTACTGGGAACCGCCGAACAAAGAACAACGCGGAAATCCCTTAGGCGGCCAAGGAGTCAAGCAGACATCCTCCTCTCTCCAGCCCATACACTTGGTATGTTGTTCAAGAATAGTGCCTTTTTGCAAAAAAAATCATGCCGCCAATGCCGCCAGTGGATTCAATGGACCAAACCTTCACAACCTTCACACGTGGAACAAACTTTTCTGAATGAGGAGCTACTTAGAAAGCCCACAGCCTTAACCCCTAAACCTGAACTCCTCAGAGCTGCCCCCCGCCGCCCCCCCCCCCCCACCAACCCTACGTACACATGACCCTGCAAAATCTGCAGTATTTTGTTAATTATGCATTTCCCAGCCCTTTGATGTCTCGAGCACACGAGGTACAGCCAGCAAAGCCGTTTGATGAACTCGAGAACAGTTTGGGTTTAGGGCTTTGTTTGTAGGACTTATAGGGTTTAGGGCTCAGGGTCCCTAGGGTGTACTGTAACTGCCCAGCTTGATCTCTACCTCTCTCGCCTCTTTTCTTCTTGCAATTTATCTCGCAACATGTCGTCTTCCAACCTCTCCCCAGAACCCTGAGAGGATCCAAAACGCAGAACCAAATCAGGGTTTCGAAGAATGACCCAGTATAGGGTTTAGGGTTTAGGGTTTAGGGTTCAGGGTTTAGGGTTTAGAGTTTAGGGTCTGAGCCAGCCGACCACGGCCACAAAGTTGAAGGCCGGCTGTCTCTTGTAGGGCTCCTGAGCTTTGGTTCTTTAGGGGTTTAGGGGTTTAGGGCGTCCCCCCTAAACCCTAAACCCCTAAACCCCTAAACCCCTAAACCCCTAAACCCCTAAACCCTTAAACCCTTAAACCCTTAAACCCTTAAACCCTTAAACCCTTAAACCCTTAAACCCTTAAACCCTTAAACCCTTAAACCCTAAACCCTAAACCCTAAGCCCTTGTGCAACTAAACCCTAAACCCATGGATCCATGGCCTGGTCTTCTGGAGCTGAGGGTTTAGCGTTTAGGGTTTAGGGTTTAGGGTTTGTGGGAAGCCAAAGCTGGCTCAGCAGGAGTTCTTGTGTATGGGGTTTCCGAATTTAGGGGGGGGGGGGGGGGGGCACCTTACCTGGAAGCTCTTTTGACTTAGTAAGTAGGGTTTAGGGTTTAGGGTTTAGGGTTTAGGGTTTAGGGTTTAGGGTTTAGGGTTTAGGGTTTAGGGTTTAGGGTTTAGGGTTCAGCATCTCAAGTCCAAGCATTCAATAGTCAAGCAATTACTCCAGGAAAATACCCACCCGCCCAAAGAATCCCACAACATTAAGAAAATATTTTACTTATAGAACGACCTTGCCCATGCCCAGTAAAACGGCGACCTTGCCCAGTAAAACGGCGACCTTGCCCAGTAAAACGGCGACCTTGCCCAGTAAAACGGCGACCTTGCCCAGTAAAACGGCGACCTAGCCCAGTAAAACGGCGACCTTGCCCAGTAAAACGGCGACCTTGCCCAGTAAAACGGCGACCTAGCCCAGTAAAACGGCGACCTTGCCCAGTAAAACGGCGACCTTCGGGGTCCAAGGTCGCATTTTTACTGGGCAGGGGCGGAAGGCCGCCGTTTTACTGGGCAAGGTCGCCGTTTTACTGGGCAAGGTCGATTTTTTTGACCGAACTGACCTTGCCCAGTAAAACGGCGACCTTGCCCAGTAAAACGGCGACCTTGCCCAGTAAAACGGCGACCTTGCCCAGTAACTCCTTAACATTTAAATTATATATGAAAGAGAGGTTTAGGGTTTAGGGTTCAGGGTTCAGGGTTTAGGGTTTAGTGTTTAGGGTTCAGGGTTCAGGGTTCAGGGTTTAGGGTTTAGGGTTTAGGACTACTGGGTGCTTAGAAGCCCTTTTGGCTTGGTAAATCTGCTTGGTATCCCCCAAAAGCCCTCTTATAATCCCCATAAACCCACCTTACTAACCCTACTTCCTAAGCCACAAAAGAACTTCCAAGCATTGGGGTCCTTATTCTAAGGGAATCCTGCTGTCTGGGGTCTACGTTAAGGGGCACCCCATTTCCGTAAACCCCCCAAAAAACCCCAAGCCTCCACAGACTACCTGACTCACCTCACCATGGGGTCCCTAAGGGCCCTAAACCCTAAACCCTTCTGCAAGAAGAATTTCGAACAAACGCAAGCCCCACAGCGCACCCTTCTGAACCCTCAACTCGGGCCAATGTGTTCAGTGCCTGGAAGGGCATAGGGTATGTCCTAAACCCTAAACCCTAAAACCCTAAAACCCTAAAACCCTAAACCCTAAACCCTAAACCCTAAACCCTAAACCCTAAACCCTAAACCCTAAACCGTATGTGTACACCAGAATGCGCTCTTCTTGCTCCTGGCCTCTGGTACCTCCCGGGCCCGTGTGTTGCAGCTCCCTAGACCCAAAAAAAAGTAGATACCGAATTATACTTGGAGGTTCATGGTACTTATTAGCCAAGTATATGTACAGTTATGATTGGTTTGTGAGTACCATGAACCTCCAAGTAGAGACTCATACGGGAAAACGACGGGTCATTCGTTCAGCCTGCCCAGACCTCTAACTGCAGTCCCTTGTTCGGGGTGCATCTTGCTCGCAAATGGACCAAGCAAATGCATATCCTTAACAAGGGCAACAATTACATAAACCCTAAACCCTAAACCCTGAACCCTAATCCCTGAACCCTAAACCCTAAACCCTAGACCCTAGACCCTAAACCCTCAACCCTCAGCTTGCCGCCGAGGCTTCGGAGCTCTTCATCCCCGCCATTCCGCGAAGCCAGTCCGGCAAGTCCAATGTGTAGCCGCAGACCTTCAGCTCCTGCAGAGGTTTAGGGCTTAGGGTTTCTAGGGTTTAGGGTTTAGGGTTTAGGGTCTAGGGTCTAGGGTTTAGGGGGTGGGGTGAAGGGTTTAGGGTTTAGGGCTTTTCGCTGCGCAGCGGCAGTAGATTTCATGCGGAGATGGCACCCCAACACACCCAGGGGGTGTGAGGGGGGCGGCATATGTCGCAGCGGCGTATGTTGAATCCGAACCCACCACAATCAGAAATGTTGGGTTGTTCTATTTTTCCCACCCCCTGCTTACGCAGGCATCCACCCAACTTTTCTCCTTTTAGGGCTACGCGGGGCCATAAGGGACCCACGCGTTTTCGGCAGTTTAGCTCTGTTGCCCTCAGAATCCCCTGTAAATACCGATGTTTCCTGGGTTTCGCCCATCACCTCATCCCCGCAATTTTTATCCAAAATCATCCTGCAATTTTTTGGGCATCCGTAGACTGCACTGGTATTTGTGGGTTTTTTGCCTACTTCGCACTTTCGACGTGTCCTAAACTAAGCCCTGTCTTGCTTGCATCCGCTTCTGCCCAGCCCTGGGTCTAAATAACACGTTTCTTCACCATAGTTAGAAGAGAGCATCCATGGCCCAACCATGATGACGTCCATAGTCTAGTCCGTTCTGGGAAGAGAGTATCCATGGCCCAAGCATGATGACGTCCATGGTCTACTCTGTTCTGATGAGAAGAGAGCATCCATGGCCCAAGCATGATGACGTCCATGGTCTACATGTTTTCTGCACTGCCATGGCCCAACCATGATGACGTCCATGGTCTACTCCGTTCTGGGAAGAGAGCATCCAGGGTCCAAGCATGATGACGGCCATGGTCTATTCTGCTCTGATGAGAAGAGACCATCCATGGCCCAAGCATGATGACGTCCATGGTTTACATCGTTTAACCCGTTCCGAGAAGGTTAAACCTTCTTCTGGGCAGAAATGGCTGGAAGTCCTTGCTTTTAGGCGCACTAGGGAGCAGAAAGGCGTCATTTCTCAACACTAAAGGCGGTGACCTAAGTCCTGCATCTCAGGTTTGCTGGTGGGGCCACAGTTTTGCGCGGGTCTGTTGTGGACCCGCCAGGTTTTAGGGTTTTGGGCTGACGCCCTAAATTCTCACTTCCCATCCCCGTCCTTTAAAGAGAGGGTAGAGTGAGTTTGGAAGGAGACTCTTCTTGCTTTGCTTCCAAAATCACAGCACCAGGTCTCCAGGTCAGAGGCTTTGGCAGGGGTTTTTGAGCAACGCGGCAGGGCCTCAACAAAGGAGCCAGAGGGCCAGGGCGGCCAGGTGGGCTCCAGACGGCCAGGGCGGGGCAGGGCGGCCCATGGGCGCAGGGTTTAGGGTTTAGGGTTTAGGGTTTAGGGTTTAGGGCTGGGGTCAGCCAGGGCGGCCAGGAGAGAGAATCACAGAAGGGAGAAGGGGTACCTGGACGGGAATTTAGGGTTTAGGGTTTAGTTTATCTATAGGGTCTAGGTAGAAATTGTAGTTTCTGTGGGCGTAGCAGGGTGTATATAGGGATTTGGGTTCGGAGAGCACTGTGGAACTTATATTCCACACCCGCCTCGGCAAACGTGGGGCTTGCAGACATGCAGTCGTCATGTCAATGGGGCCCTACGTATCATCCACATTGTCCAAACTTCTAAAGACCCCCAAAGAACTCTAATGCCCCAAACCAAAACTGAACCCAAAAGAACCTCGAGCCTTAACCCCCCGGCCCCCCCGCCCCACCCCGCACCCCCCACGCCACCAAGCAAAAAAAAAAACAAGCCCCAACCCTAAACCCTAAAACCCTAACCTCAAACCCTAAAGGCTAAACCTTAAACCCTAAAAACCCTAAAACCGTCAACCCCAAATAGCTCAGAACAGGCCAACCACTTAGCACTGCAGGAGGGAGGGTGCTTTCCTGCTAGATTCTGCGGGTTTGGGCTTCAGCAGTCGTTGGCTTTCGGCATGTGTGT